AATTTCTGGTAATTTTAACTCATGTTGTCTACTTTTAGCTTTTTCTTCTTCTTTTATAATTTTAGCTTCTTTTTTGCTCTTTTCAAAACTTTTTGTTTTTACCCTTTTTTGCTATTTTTTTTTACTGATTCTTCACTTTTGTCCTACTTTCAGCAAAAGGCAGCAAATTTAACTTGTATTAACAGTTCTGCCATTAAACATGTTCAGCTTGTCCAGCAGCTTTCAGCAAAAAAAAGTTTCAGCATTAAGCACTCATACTGCATTTTCACAGAAAATGCAACTTTTAACGTTTAATAACAATCTGTATAGCAGCTCTTCCTCATATTAGCCTATATTTTGCTAACAGAGACATAATTAGACAAAAGCAAAAACATTATCGCCCGCCTTCTCCTTTGGCAGCCGCCAAAAACCAATTAAGAGTCGTTTGGAGAATAAATGTTAATTTAGAGGAGGTTTTGATTATTGTAAACATAAAGAGGTTATAATGGTGGGTTTGTGTAAGTGATTTGGTCGCTTTGCCTTTAACGGTCCTGTGTTTCCTCCCTGTCTACAACTGAGTCCCGGGGAGGGACGGAACCGAGCWGATCTGTTTCCCGAACCCTCAGAACCCGGGAAGCAGTCCGAACCAGTCCGAACAAAGAGGCTCCGACGCGGTTTTACATTTTTTCCTTCTTTCAAACATCAGAAACTTTCTGTCCGGGTCTGACAGGRCTCCATTTGTACCAGTGAAAGAATCAACAAAACACCAGTAAATAAACAAAAACGTTTTGACGGAAGCTGAAACACGTCACCGCCATCACTTCAACACAAACTAAAGTTACTTTTATTATTGTTTACAGTAAATGTGAACACTCCAGAGGGCGGCACCTAGCGATTTACCCTGCATAAAGCTTGTGTTAATTGGTGGAAGAAAAKATGTTTGAGGTCATTTATTTGCCCGAATTTGCTGAAAGGCTTTTAGGATTTAAAGAACAACTTTCGGAATCCTCTACAAGCTGCTGGCGATCATTCAGAGGCAAATCATTCTTAAATTGAACGATTTTTGAATGGAGATCGGTTCAGCGTTCCAAACACTAGAAGCGAACAGCKGTCACAGATAAAAACAAAACATCCCGAGCCCGAACTTTAACTGAGCCATAAACTGTTCGGCTGCTTTTTAGCAGCGCGACACAGAGCCTTATTATGACATTATAACCCATCCGAGAGAGAGGCAGATCCATGGACCCATGATCGGACAGACTCACCCTGAGCTCGCAGCGGCTGGAAGCAAAAGTTGACGGCGAGCAGCAAACTGGTTATCTGAACACACACACGCATCTTATTGAAAGCCTAAAGTGCATCGTGAACGAGAAGAGACGGGAAACTGTGGTTCCGAGACATGCCGCTCCATGGATCCCCGTTAACTCCGCTCCTCTCTGCGCGCTGCGTCCTCACGAGCCTGTAGTTGTACTGCGCATGCGCAGCAGAGCCCCGGTCCAGTTCAAACACTTCAGACTCTGCGGTTCATCATCATGATGTGGCTGCTCACACACAGACTGGTGGCTGTTTGTCTTATTTGATGACGCCAAGCTGCTGCGTGTGTTTTTAGTCTGTTAGTAAAATATCTCATSAACCACTGGGTGGATCTGAATRAAATTCTCAGAAAGTAATAATTGGAYATAGCTGATAAACTTTGGAGAAGCCTACAGTCCAAACAACATCCTTAACCATCACAAAAGAGCTATAATTAGGGCTACAAAATTCTGTGAATTTTCAGTGCTAAAAGCTGTAAGGAATCTAGTAGGAAATTATATATACAGGTGCTGGTCATAAAATTAGAATATCATGAAAAAGTAGATTTATTTCAGTAATTCCATTTAAAAAGTGAAACTTGTATATTATATTCATACATTACATACAAACTCATATAT